TCTGAGAAGATTGATTCTCTGTCTGAGACAATATTCACAGACAACTCATACAATCAGATCACATTGCAGATGAAGATGTGAGTTAAATTCTTTAACTTCAAGTTCTTGTGAGTGAATATAAAGTGTGTTATCTTGATGAAGTGATTCACTATCATCAGCACACTGTCAAAGCAGGCATTATATATGTTCTTGCTTTCAGAGAGACTCACAAGAACATTTATTTCTAGCTGTTCTCAAGATTTCTGCAGAATGAGTAGAGGAGTAAGTTCTTCATATAACCTGAACTGCACTACCCGCGAATTCTGATAAACAGCATAAGAATTCACTATCTTCTTCACAAGTTCTTGCATCTTCAGTCAGAAGTATTTTCTTATAAGCAACTCATGAGTTCTAGTATCTGTAAAATGACCTGCTAGAGAAGAGTTATGATACCTTTGAATGAGTTCTATGTGTAGAAACTCATTCACAGGCACATAAATTCAGTTCTCTCTTCACAAGAGATTATTTAAGTCTCTTCAATTCTTTGTTTCTGCAGGATTGATCCCTGCTGTAAGCAGTTTCTGAATATGCTGAGCATATTCATTCTTCAGTTGCAGTTCAGACAATCTGAATAGAAGATCTTATAAAGACTTATACTCTGTTTTTTCTTATATCAGGTCTTTCACAGTACTTCTCAAAGCCTGCAAACTCTTCAGGTTATAGATACTCTCTTCAAGAATTCTCATGAAGATTCTCAGAGTGTTAACTCTCAGTGTTATAGAGAGTAGTTGTGCAGGCTTCTTCTCTCTCTTCTCCTTCTTCTCTTATAAGAGATTAAGAGACTCTTCAGTCAATCTCTTCACAACACTCAGTCTGAGCATTCTGTGAAGCTTTTCTGTCTTCTCTAGCTTCTCTGTATCTATTATCCTGGTCTTCTTAATATAGTCTGATCTGTGAGAGAGTTCATCTGCTGAGTTCTTAGTTCTCTTGATATGTTCTATCTTGAATCAGAACTCACTCAGTCTCTGAGCCCAGCAAATCTGTCACTGCAAGAGTTCCTTAGTTAAAGTAAACTATTGTAAGCTGTCATGATCAGTTCTAACAGTAATCACTGTCATGAGGTTCTCAAAGTAGTGACATCAGTAGCAGAAGGATTTCACTATCATGAAAAGCTTCTGATTATAAATGTCATAGTTGATCTCTGCAGATTGCATCTTCTGTGAGAAAAAGGTCACTGAAACTCAGTTCTCATTTGACTGTAGTTGCAAGACTATTTCTGAAATCACAAAGAAGAAGGCATCTGTCTTCAATCTGATTAAGAGCAAGAGATCAAAGTGAAACAGTATCACTGTATCTATGAATATCTGTTTCAATCTTGCAAAGGCTCTGTGAGCTTCTGAGATAAGAAAGTTCTCACAGTTCTTTCTTCTCAACAATCTTTTCATTCTCTATTCACAGAATGACTTCTTCTTGTTTTCACTCTTCAGTATGTCTGTAAGAGTCAAAGAGATTCTTACAAACACAAAGATAAATCACCTATAGAAATTCACAAAGCTCAGAAAGATCTGAATCTCATGAATACTAGTTAACTTCAATTATGATAGAATAGTCTCAACTCACAAAGGTTTCATCTGAATATTATTCACAGTGATTATATATTCTAGGAAATTAATTCAGTGAGCACTGAAGTTGCACTTTACAAGCTTAATATACAGTTCTGTCTCATCTAAGGTCTTCAATATACTTCACACATGCTCAGTGTGTTCTTTCTTCTTCATGAAGTACATCATCACATCATTCAGATATATTATCATGAAGACATTCAGATATGTATGAAGTGTTTTGTTGATGAAAGACTGAAATACTGCAGGAGTATTAGTCAGATTAAAAGACATTACTAGATATTTAAACAATCTCAGTGCAGTTCTAAAGATAGTCTTTCATTCATTTTCAGACTGTATTCACAGCTGTGTATATACATTGATCACATTCAGTTGTGTGAATATGACAGCTTTCACAAGACAGTTGATCACATTCTCAATCAGAGACAGAGAGTAGCAGCTCTTTATTATCTTGAAGTTCAGATCACAGTAGTCTACACATAATCTGAGATCTTCATTCTTCTTCTTCACAAACATCACAGAGGCTCCCATGAAGATCTGTGAAGATTGAATGAAGTCATTCTTCAGATTCTTCTTCACATAGGTCTGTAAGACCTCTGTCTTATAATGAGAGAGCTTATAGATTAATCTTCAGAAGGGTTTCTGCTCTTCTATTAAATCTATTATCAGATTCTTCTCACAGTGAGAAGAAAGCTCAGCTGTCTTAGCTGAGCTGAACATCTCTGTAAGATCTCAGTATTTCTCTGATATCTGAAGCTCAGTTTTCATGACTGTGAGATTCTCAGACACTTGCAAAGCTATCACATAAATGAGCTTGTCTTCTCTAATTAACTCTGCAGCATCAACTGCTTCTATCTCTGTGAGTAAGTCTGTCAACACTGATCAGAAGTATAAACCTGACTCATGAACAGCTATGTGCAGATTGTGTCTTTGAAGTCATACAAGTCTCAAATACATGTCATCTGTGATATTCATAATAATCACAGTTTCTGTAAATCTTCTCCAGATTTCAGAGAGATCTTGTAATTCAAAGATGATTCTCACAAGTCTCTCAGCTCTCAGATCTGAGTTCTCATGCTCTGCTTGTTATAAGAGCAGGTTCTCAGTCTTCATCTTTCAGCTCATTCACTCTGTGAGCTTTAGAGACATCACAGTGACCTGAAATTCTGAGTTTATCAATACTTTTCATACTTGCAGAGTAGCAGCACTGCAGCACAGTCTCTTTCTATAAGTAAGCATTTTCATTGAGAGAGCAACAGATTCAGATATCAGCTTCAAGACTCTTAAGAAGGCTGTTACTGACTCTGTTCATGACTCTTCAAATTTCTATTTTGATTTGTTCAAACAGTTTGCATGAAGATATTCTGATTTAGAACAGATAAAGTAGAGTCTCTTTTTCTTAGTCTCTCTGTTATACACTCTGTTTGTGAGAGCTTATGAAGCTCTCTCTCTCTGCTCAGCAGTCAGATGCAAATCTCTCTGTGTCTTGTCATCTTTTTCTGACAAACCTGTTCTCTGTTGTTCTGATCCTTGCAGAGTCAGTCAATGATTCACTCTCTGCAGATCTGTGACTCTCACAGTGATCTGCAAGCAATGAATGAGAGTCATCAGTTTCTTCAGAGTCAAGAGCTTAGAGCCTTGCTCAATGAGCTTGTTCTGTATATCTTTATCCAGCCTCTTCATAAATATCATTATTCAGATCTTATTTCAGAGCTCTGTTTTCACAGATCTCAATTCATATCATAATTTCATGAAGTGCTGTAAGTAGTCTTCATCAGATTTCTCATCTCTTTTTCTAATATTGATGATTGCAGTTCAGATGTTCTCTGTTCAGCTCACAGAGTCTCTTAACTTGTTCTCTAGATAGGTCTTGAGAATAGATTATCAAGATCTCTCATGATCATTCTCTAGATAGTTCAGCCAGTTCTTGACTTCAGTGTAATAGAGGTTTATCATTATGTAGATGACATCTTCTTCATCTTTCATATCACACAGCTGGGCTTGTGAGTCAATTTCAAATACAAACTTGCAAAAGCTTTTATAGATTGTGGTTTGATAGATGGTCTTAAGTGGTCACAGCTTGAGAAAGTTTCTTTTCAGTTCACAGGTGTCTCTGAAGATTATGTTTAGAGACTCAGTTCAAGGGTGTTTGCAGGCAGTAAGCATTTCTTATAGAAAAATAGCTTGATTCTGCAGAAGATGCTCAAGAATGTTCTTCACTGAGATTAGTTTATTCATGGGTTCAGAGGGTTCCTCTGTTACAGATGCAGAGAATGATGTCTCATGAGTGATTGATAAGTCCTCTGAGACTTCTTTCACAGAGGTTATTCATGATTTGAGTGACTGCTTCTGAGTGCCTGCAGTAGGGTTCGCAGGGGTTGAAGCATGCAAGTTTCTAATTCTTTCAGTCATAATGAGCAATTGCTGACTGACTGAGCTTGAAATGTAAGAATAAGTGCTTGCAGGTGATTATTCAGGTGTTTGCAGCTTGATATGATATGTACTGTTAACTACTAGAAGTGTTCACAGTAGAAAGATAAATGTAGAGATTAAATGTATAATAGCATTCAAGCTGAGTTGTGAATAGTATTCGCGAACTCCAGTCTATATAGTTGTGTGTAGCCAAGGGCCGCTAGCCCTATTGATTACGCGAGAGATAGGAATAGAGGTAAAGGATCCGCGAGGAGCGGGATTTCTTACATTATCAGAGAATTCATAAGAACTGCTTGAGTATTTGAAAAATGCTGAGAAAGAGATTACAAGCTATGAGACAGATAGTAGAGATCACTCTGTTACATGTTAGAGATGTTGAATAAGAAATATTACTTAAGACTTCTTATTTTTCTTAAAGAATTTTTTAGAGATGATCTTGCAGTGATGAGCTGATATCTTATAGACTCTGTAGCACTCTTCTTCTATTTTCTCTCAAAGGATTTTTTAGAAGTTTAATGAGACTATACAAGTGTAAAAATTCTGAAGTGATTAGAGAAAAGAAATATTTAAAATCAATAAAAAGATTAATATTAATTAATTCACAGACTGCTGCTAATTTAATGAGACTGCAGTCTGCTGAAAAAGTAAAAAGAGAGAATCTCAGAGTCTACTTATTAACAATCACATTCTCATTAAACTCATTCTTCATTATTGAAGTCTCTGACACTGATATCTTTGTCTGCTGAGAAGTTAGTGCTGTGACATCATAGAGAAGTATGCTATAGAAGAGTATAAGAGATACTGAAAGTATTAACTTATTAACTTACAAAGCATCTCAGTCATCTGTTTCAACTGAAGTGAGATTCTCTTTAATCAGTGATTAATCTCTGTGATACTTCTAATAACAGTGCTGGCTAATCTCTTCTTGAGATCAGTCATTCTGAGGTGTTTTTTCATCTCAGAGATTCACACTTTCATCTTCTTTTGCAGATAAGTAAGAAGGACCTTCTCAGTCTTGATAGAATCTGTCAACACTTGAAGCTCTGAGACTCTCACTCTGTACTACTTAAGCATCTGAACTTCTTGTCAGAGCTGACATGACACCTTCTTATAGAGTAGATAATACTTACAGAGAGATAGAAGTCATTGTTGCCAGTATAACAGAAATAATAGAAGTGAGAGAAGAGATAAGTGTATAGAATTCTCTTCTTCTTCAGCTGCTTGATACAGTGCAGATAAGTAGTAATGCTGATCAGAGACTGCATCAGAGCCTTCTCATAAAGAGAAGATGAAGAAATCACAGAACTCTGCAGACTCAACTCAGCAGCATTCTGAGCAGGGCTCAGATGTGTCACAGAAGAGAAACTACAGATTGAGCTTCTCAGAGTCACTGTTCTCAGAATCAAGCTCTCTCTGAAGTCCTCTCTGAATGATTACACAGGGTCATATGCCACTGTGTTGATTGAAGAGAGCGGCATCACTAGACTGGCCGCCGGGACCATGAATTTCACATTTGATCCCATTTGATCTGGTCCCATACATTTCTTGGAGTGAATCCCGCTGGGACTGGCTATCAAAAAAACATGTAAAGTGACTATATATCAGATCTTAAAATGGAACCATGACTTGAAAAAAATGAGAAAGTGGTCCCATTTGGTCCCATTTAGTCCCATTCTTGGCATAAAGTTACTATTTTTAGACATTTTAAGGTTTTTTTTAGACTATTTTTAATTTTTTAAAAAGTAACGCTTTTTGGTAACACTCAAATGAGATTTAAAGTCATTTAAAGCAATAAAAATAATTTAAATTGAGAAGTGAAAATCATGGTCCCATTTGGAAAATGTGACAAGAGTAGACAGTAAGTCCCACTGGGACAGTATGAGACCACTATCTAATGTTAAAACCGTGTAATGGGATCAGTCGAATTGGTAATGAGACTATCAAAAAATCTGGTCCTGGTCCCAGACACGGTCACACGGTCAGTCTAGGCATCACAACGGCGGTGAGAGGGGCAGAGAACAGATCAGACACAGACACACCAGCCAGCAGAAGAAATAACACCTCACTGCAGAGCACAGCAACTTTCACTACAGTCATAAGAGAAGCAGAAGAAGATATGATAATAAGAGTGATGCTTCTGCAGCTCATTGACACTGCTGCCTTTAATCTGGCTTTCTTAGCAGTCACAGAGACTGCTGTCACATCATGAAGATGTTTACTCACTAGAAAATATCAGAATAAGTCCTCTACTGTTCTTCAAGAATGATACTCTTATACACTCACTATTGCAGATGAGAGAGAGGGAAGAAAAATGTGTCACAGAAGAGAGAGATCTTTTTGAAAAAATTCTGTCATAACTGTTAGCTTTGTCTCTAAAATATACTACTTTTGCAGAGAATTTCATACATAGAATAGAATATATTAAAAGATCTGTAAGTCACTTATTAATTACATTTTTCATCTTTCAAATTAATATATAAGAAACTCACTTATCACACATTTGATTTGAATGAAGATGAGAAAAGGAAGATCTACACAGTCAGCAGAAAAACTCATCTATTCCTTTATATCACATACAGCATATATACTGTCAATTGATTGATAATCATTGCTATACAACAAAGATAATTTCTAATTCAGTAATCTTGAGAGTATAGAGACTATGCTCTTAAAGAGAAGAACATTGTCATGCTCTCAGCTGTGCTAAGACTCTGTTGCAGTTTCACACAGCTCATCACTTTCATGTGAATGATTTCATTCATTCCGCAGGCTGTTCAAACCAGTTTTCAACCACTCTATGACATCATGCAGATGTATCATAGAAAGATTCAATTGATGAGTATGAGAATCTCACTTCTATATAAGATTAGCAGATTACTCTTTCTTAGCAATAAGATGCTGCTGAGGTATCACTTCAGCTATTCTTACTTATGAAATGAGAGAAGGGTATCTGCTCATTATCTATATAGAATAGCTAGATGCTGGCTCCTCATCAAAGAAGTCAGTGATTTGTCTTTTTCTTCTACTGAAATATATATAAGAGTTACTGTGTGTCTCATACAATCTTCTTAGTATACTAAGTACCATATCTGTGATATTCTCGCAATAACCTTGTAGTCTACAAGCTCACTATTTAAGCAAGATAGTCAAGCTCATTCATACAGCTTTCTAAACAACTACTTCTACATGACGCTGCTGACTAGTCACTGCTTCAGTTCCGCTACATTACAATTCTTCTCTTTTGAATTTTCAAAACAGAGTTTAAAATCAGTTCAAGATTCATTTGATTATTATGAATCTGACTATTTCTAAGTCTTTTTAAAGCAGCTTGACTATCAGAGAATATTCATGCCTCTTTCAAATCATTTCCTCTTTTATAAGATTTTATTTCAATGAGTTTGAAAGCTTTCACTATTACAAATAGTTCAGCATCAAAGACTTCAGATTCACAGCCTAAATTTCAGAAATCTGAGATAAAATTAATATTATCTTCAGTATAAGCAATGCCTGCGCCTAATCTATTCAAATTCTCATTTTTTGAGTCATCTGAGTAGATCAGAATAGAGTCTTTTATATTAATTGTAGAGATCTTCTTCAAATGCTGTTTATATTCTCTCTCTTTAGATAGTTCACTTATTTGTAAGTCTATGAGAGATTTCAGCTTTTCTCTTCAGAGAGATATCTTCTCATGATCAATTTTCTCAACATTTAATGAAGAAAATTGATTCTTAATAAGTGAACATAGTCTATACAGTTGAGAGGGCATTTTCTTTAAAGTATTATTCTCATTTCAATCAAGAAATCTATTTCAATCCAGTTCATTTCCTGAGTTAACTGATGAAAATGAAGAAGAGACTCTTTCTCTGATTATATAATTTAAGCTCATCTTCATGACTCTCAGAGCATAGTTCATACAGGCCTTTTCAAATTGAATAGCAGGAGATGGAATTGAAGCTTCAATTTCCATTGCTTTAATAGGAGATGACTTGAATGCTTTCAGAATTCTTCTCAAAGCTCTGTTTTGTAGACTTTGAAAGAGTTCAGTGAAGTTTCCTTGATTATTCCATCAAACTTGAACTCTATAATCAGCTACTGAGATAATACAGGCTATGTATAACTGTCTCATAGCCTGAAAGAATAGACCTCTCTCAGTATTTGATAGTCTGATTATACTATTCAGTAGTCTCTCTGCCTTGATAATTCTTTGTTGAATATGATATTTAAAATTCAGCTTGGAGTTTAACCATACTCCTAGTCATTTGACATTTAAACCGGGTTTAATCTCTTTATTCAAAAGAGTTAGACTTAGTTTTTTCTCATTAAACCTGGGAAAAAAGTGAATTAGCTCAGTTTTATTCATATCAAATTAAATTAGATTGATATCTGCTCTAACAAAGATTTCCTTTGCTACTTTCTCAATCACTTCTAAATTCTCTTTGATTGTCTTTGAACTGTAGAGTAGATCAATATCATCTACATAACTTGAAGATCTCACTATTTTCATCTCTCTATTCTTGAATAGATATGCAGTGTATATTGCAAATAAAACAGGTGAGATTGAAGATTCTTGTGGTACTTCTATTTTTATCTCAGTTTTATCTTGTTTTCTTTCATCAAAGAATAGTTGTATAATTCTTTTAGACATGAAACAATTGACTCATTTTATTAGAGAAAGTGGCAGTTTTAACATCTTCAAAGTTTGAATCATCTTAGACTTTGACACATGATCAAATGCATCTTTTATATCAATAAAAACTGCAGTTGAGACCAGGCCTTCATTAAGATCTTAAAAGCAGGTGATCAATCTTAAGAGAATTGAATAAAGATTAGCATGCTTAAGAAGACATTAACTTTTAAACTCTTACAGACTCTTATAAGTGTAAATAAAGACTCAACTTATGAAGACTTCTACACACAGCTTCAGATATTGAATGACTGTCTTATCAAGCTCAAGAGTATACAGAACAGTGATAGAAGACATTACATCTCAGTCACTTATATACTTATATTGAAGAGAAGTAACAGCAATGATACAGATATCATGAACTAAATAGATTTAAATATCTATACATAAGTAAGAGTTTTCACTACTTAAACAGACTTCTGAGTTTCTGAGATCACTTCTGAAGAAGTCACTGATCAATGTCAACATGAAGTGTGTATTAACTATAACTGATTAAGATATATTGCTTTTAACTCTTAATTAATCTACATGTCTTCTTATTCAAAGAATGAATCAGTGTCTGTTCACATCAATTACATTGTATTGAAAGAAGATTCAGAAGATAACTATGAGAATACTCTGATAAAACAGAGAAAAGATTAGCTTCTGTTCTGTGGCGGGCTGCGCCCGATCAATCATATAGACTATTCCGTTACACTCCACAGATTCCACGTACGCTCCGATACTCGGCCATTCTCAATCGCCGATCCTCGGCCGCCACGAACGCGTACACTCCGATTCTCGGCCATTCTCAATCGCCGATCCTCAGCTGCTATGAACGCGCGTATATTCTTCCGCCCTGAAGCTCCACTGTGTACATCATCACATATGTGTATAAATATCTGTCTCAATCACTGATTCTCACACTTTCTCTTTTCTTTCTTCTTTAATGTTTTTATCTTTTATTATATAAGACCTATATCTTAATACTGATCTATTTAATGTAGGCCTCTTATACTATAAAAATGTTCATTATCTTCTTATTAGAAAATAATTATTCATGTATTATCTTCTTATCAGAAACAATTATTTATCAAGAGATATCTGAATGTGTAACAATGTGTAAGAAATAGAGAAATAGTCAAACAGTTAAGCAGACACTGAGTTCTCAGATAGTTCTTAGATAGAAGCTTACTCATCAGTTACTTTGACTCTGTAACAAGATCTTATAAAGAGAGTAAGATCTTATAAGAGAATATTAGTGAAAGATCTGAGAGTTCTGACACTCAGATGTATGAGAATATAATTACACTTCTTCAGATTTCACAGATATTATATATCTGATGATCAATATAATCATGTCTAATGATAATATAAAACTCTTGAACATGAGTATAGACATAGTGTTACAGTGACTCTAAGTAATGTTGAAACTACAATAATAATAAATAGCTGATATGCATGCAACTTAACAATGTCAATATGAAGAGATTCAATGATTATCATAATAAGAAACTCATGCAATTTCAGCATCTACAGAATCAAATACAAAAGCACTAAAAGAATACTTAGATACTCTCATATATTTCAATACTTCTGATCTCACTCTTTACTCATTATAAAGAATGAAAATGCTCATGAAACTGAGTGTAGATGAAGATTTCATTGATTTGTTAATTAATCAAGATTGATATATCAATGAATGATTGAAGAATCGCATGAAATAGAAGTTTCATTCATGAATAAAAGCATGCAAATCAGTGTTGTGAATATCTGATAATATTATGAAATATCTTGATATTCTGTTCTGAGACACTATCATGCAATAGAAAGTATTAGATTGATTATAAAGTATCTGAC